CCTAATGACAACCATAAACACTATGTTTGGTTCAAGGAATTTGAAAGGGAAAAGAAAAGAAAATGAAGTGGAAAATCATTTTTCTTGTTTGGTTAGAGGGGAAAAGAAAGGAAAAGTGGAAGGAAAAGAAAATGAGAAGGCAAAATGTATCAAGTGGAGGAAAAATCAAATTCCTTTCATTTTGGTGAGAAAATGAGAGAAAACCATTTTCTTTTCTTTTCCTTCCAAAATCCTTGAGCCAAACATAGTGAAAAAGAGCTTCCGAAAAGTGTTTTTAACTACAAAATTACTCTCACGATAAGCAACATGCCGGGTGAAATTTATAAATCCAAAATAGAAAAACTCCCAAGTCCGTACTAATACAAAGTACGGAGTAATACCTTTGACAGGTCTGCAGCAAATTCATCTCCTAGTATACACTTGATGATGTCAGTAGAAAGGTTTCTACCAAACCATATAACAAACCGAAACCCATCATCATAGATATAGAGACCTCCTACAGCTAAGCTATCTATGGTAAGTGGAAGCCTTTTCAACATGTTCTCAGACTCACCGGCCAAAGGAGATGTCTGAAAATGAGAAAGTAATCAATTAGGAAAAGAAACACAACTAAGGGAAAATGCCCTTCCCCACTTTAACTTAAAATATCAAGATGAATTTGTTCAATTTGATAAGCACCTACCAAAAAGGTAAATAACAAAAGAGGAGAAAAAACTTACTCTCAAAAGAAACTCATCTACACGAATCAGGTTAGGATACAAAAGTTTCAACAGCTTTGCAACTGGCAATGCCATCATAGTAAATCCGGAAGCACAGCGTTCATCTAGTTGCACATCTGAATAACCACCTCTTAGGGGTGTGGACTTGGACAAAGCTAATCCATACAAAGGTAATAATTTCAAAGATTCTGGATATATCATCCTTCCTCCCATGCGATGTTGTACAGCATACAAATTTCTATATTCTCGGAGGGCATTAACAATTCTTAATAGAATAGAACTTCGAGCCTCTTCCAGTTTAGTGGAGGAAGATTTTTCAATTGCTGCACATTAAAATATTATTTGAGAGATCAAGAACCACTTTACATACAGTATAGGTAAAGAAGAAACAAATCCAACAACAAAAGAGACCCTTTTTTACCTAGCCTAGAGAACACTGATACAATGGCACCAATATCAGCCAGACGATACATATCTCCAATTTCAGAAACCACAGGTGCCGCTGCAGTTTGTACCCTAATACGTCTTTCTCCAGATGAAGATGTGTATCTTTGCACTATTAAGGACCCCTGAATTTTATTATTCCCAGAGAGGAGAAATCTAGACACCCTATATATTCCAAAACAGGCAGAAATTGCATCTCATGCAAAACTGTCATCAATTATCTAGACCATAATTACACTTGTTTGCATCCATGTAGCATGCCCCACTAATTTATGACAGGCTATTTCAGAATGTACAAAAAATGTTTGACCAAAATCTCTGTTGCTAATATTGTCAGACTTTAGTACTCTCACTTTCACAAGTCAACATTATAGTCCCATAAAATGACATTAGTTAAAGCACTTTATTATTGTTTTAAAATTTTGAATACATAGCAAGTTATAAACTGTTTAATTCCTAATAAAGTAAGAATTGTCCTTATTATAACTGTCACCTAAATAGGGAAAGGAGGCAAAAGAATAGACATAAAACTGTATAATATTGCACAGTACAGCATATAGCTTATATCGCACGCACACAACCAGAGATTCCCATATCTGGAAGGATACAGCAGTGCAACTTGGAAGTATACAGTCTGGGTTGTTAGCAATGTTTCTTCAAGTGATAACTGCATCGCATAAGCTTTATCACAGTCAACAGCCGGAAGTGCTATTAGATCTGTGGATCTGAGCATAAAATTCCCATGATAAGTAGTGAAACGGACACCTTGAACCAAAACAGTGAAAAAATTAGTTTCTAAGTGGAAAAAATAAATAAACACAATTGATTGATCAGTATAATTTCCCATTGATTCACCCACATGACCTTGCAATTTAATTGGTTAGAAATGACTTACCCTTTCCACATCTGATCCGCATGACAGCCTCCCAAGCAGTCTCCCTTGTTAAATCTCTTGTCAACTCCTGGCTTAATTTATCTTTATGAATAGCAGCTTGGAAACTTGGATAATGATAAACCTGGCCACCAGTATACTTTGACAGAGTCCCTATAACATGATGGAATAATAGCTTATGAAGACCACATGCCAAAGAAATACTTAATAAGGTAACATTGGACATAAAATCTCCGTTACAGCCGAGCTGGAAATGCTACTAAAGGATATAAAGACAAGGAAAGGTATGTATCTGCATATAAGTTACTCCCTTTATGGCACTGTGCTTTCCCCTTTCTCCACTATCATATGTCCAAATCGTTTGTCTCATATTATATTTAGTCATATTTGTGTGGTTCAAAATCATTCACTTATATACTCAATATAAACCACAAAATTCCCATGTTCCTTAAAGTGTGTAGTTGTCATAAGTTAGTTGAACAGAGTGTTGGATAATGGGTACATGCATCACACAAATTAAGGATGGCATGCGTTGTTTTAGTTCACTTTTCATAGAGACCTCTCATGTTCTTGAAAACATGACACGATGAATGAAGTCTTAACACTAATTCAAACCCAACCTTCAAGGACAAAAACAAATCAAATGAAGTTAAAAAGAATATGTTGCTATTAACTATAAAGAGCTAATGAAGTTTTCAAGAGAATAAAAAGATAAAAAAAACAAGATACTCTAACTAGTATGCAGTAATGCATAAAACCCCCGCTGTACTAATGGTTGATACACCAAGATGCAAAATTAATTAAGTAGGAAAATGTATACTAATGGGGGAAAGCAAAACATGTAGCTAACAAAGCTTTATTGTCTCAGAAATGACTCCTTTATCCACTCAATTTAGAAAGAAATTGCCATTACCTAAGGTTGCTACATCTGTATACTTGTCACTAAATGTATATACATTGACAGCTATTTGATACTTCGTGAAATCAGCAGCCATCTGTTTATAAAAAGAATCTTCAGGTATTCTCGTTGTATGTTCTTTATCAGATCCATATATACGAGGATCATCTCCTCTTAGTCTCAAGCGACCAACACCCAGGGAAGGAAGAGTGCTCTGAAATATCAGCAACTTGCCACCAAGTCGATTCTGGCAGCAGGTAGAGCATAATAATATTTAAACATTGATTCATTCTAAAGGGAGGAGGTAAGAAACTGTTATTGGATATAAAAATATTTCTCCACAACCGAAAAAGATGAAGTAGATCATTCAATCTAACATTAGCTCCATGGAAAAAAAGTCTTGTTTGACCAATGCATGGTGAAAACACAAATTCAAACATATTACTCCGTATTACACAGTACACAGTAGCTCATACAGTATACAACTCTCGCATGGTATAAATAAGAAGATAAACTCAAAAAGTATGAACTACGAACCTATTAAGTGATATCAATAACATACATCATACACATGTTGCCACTTATTACAGTTGCAACACACTTATAATTTAACATGTAGGACATTTTAATTTTGATAAGGTACAACCATCATAAAATATGAATCAAAATTTTATTTATAAAATTTATTTGATGGTTCAACTAAATTAATGTAAATGACTCTTTATACCAATTGAAATGATAAGTAGCTTGGCCTGATCAAACAGGACTATTTATTTTCTAAGTTCTTTTTTATTTTACTAGAGTCGTACCCATACATTGCACGGTAAGTTGATTGTTCTTCAATGTGAGGAATGAATTGCAAGTCAAATTATTGTTTTTAAATGTTACTCACATCGTCTCAAAGTGAACTTTTTACTTTCTTTTATTGGATGTCCCAAAATAAAATTTAAAGTTTAAACTTCTCCCTTTGCTTTTCGAGAAATAGAATATGTAACTCTTATCATTTCTCTTTCTCTTCTAAATAAATTTCAATCACACCTTTCACTTTAAAAGGCTTTTCTTAAACACCATGTGCCAAAGTATAAAATTCATTCGTGAGACGGGGATGAAACTGGGATGAAATGGGGATAAGTTCTCAAGCATTTTAAGTCAAAATGCATTTCACAATAACATAATACTCCGTATTTTATAACTATGTCTCATTTTTGGCACGGTATTAAAATATTTAAAATATTATTTCCAAACAATATTTTTTGTTGACACATATTTTGTATGTGCTCATATTTGTTTGGACTAAAAATTAAATAGGCCTGTGTTTGCCCTAATCTACAAATATCATAGTTGTTTCTACTGAGTTTTCCTTTGTACTGTTCATTGATGCAACATTTTAAGGCAGGATTATTGTGCCCAAATTCCTCCTGCTTTTGTACACACACACACACAAATATATGTATTTGTATGTATGTATACACATACACACACATATATTCATATATAGGTGTGTGTGTGTGTATAAACTCCCTCCGTCCCGCAATAGATAACAATTTTTTACTCCAACCTCTCGATAACTTTTATTTATTTATGTGATTTTATTGATTATTTGGTAAGAAAAAGTATTCTGGCCGCCTCATGTTTTCTAAAAGTTTTGATGTTTTTTTATACGTAAGTTGTATTTTTAATTTCTATACCAATTTGTAAATAAAATGATTCAAAAAGCACAGGATTTGACTTGTAACTCCAAAATTGTAATCAATTTTGGGATGGAGGGAGAATATATAAAGACATTTATTTTTTTCTTATGCGGGGTGGGGCAGTGGAAAGAGTACCATAAACCAGGCTCAAATGATGAAGTACATTGCTAAAAGAAGTCTACCCACCATAACCATGAATACAGCTCTCAGAGCAGGACCAAGAGCTGATTCCACATTCACATTATCCTGAAACATAGAAGGCAAGCTATCTAGAAATGTGTCAATGACGTCCCTGCATTCTGACAAGTTGACAAGCAAGTCATCTGGCAGTGGGATAAAAGTATCTTCAGGATCTGACACAACCAGCATTTGAGGCTGTGTCAATGACGACTGGAAAAAAATGTGAATAATTAATTAGTGAAGGAAGTGCCTGAGGATATTGAGAGAATGTCATGCAAATCACTCACCTTCATATTGTAAAAATGAATGGTACTGTCATAAGTAATAAAACCAATCTGTGTTCTCGGATACCCAGGCAAGCTATCCAAACACTTCTTGATGGTTTGCGCAATAACCTGTAACACATTGTTTATTTAAAATACACTCAATCTAATTACAAAAGGATGTGAATGATAATTTATACTCCTTCCATTCCAAAATATTTACCCAATTTGACTTTTTCATAGAGAAACTTTGATTATCAATTAAATAAAAATGTGTTACATTAAGGTAGTGTTTGGTTGGGGATGAAATAATTTTCCGGAAAATTTCAATTCTAATTTCCTACGTAAAATAAATGGTAGGAAAATATTTTCCCGGGAAAATATTCTCTCTAAACAAGGGGGAAATGATTTTTGTTTGCTTTCAAAAAAAAAACTCATTCACTCTCAACTCTAGCCCCTGCCCCCACTCTTGTCCACCCCCATACA